ATTCCTGAGATATATAAACATGAAATGTTCATCAGAGGAGCTCAGAACTGGAATAACTCAGTTCATTGAAACATTTTGAAAAACAATGCAACTTTCTGGATTGAAATATTAGAAAACTGTTATCCACAAAGACAAATTAAATATGTGAGTACCACAAATCTGCAGGACAGAATGCAAACTTTAACAAGGGGAGCTGCTTTTATTTATCACAAGACCCAGAATGTTTTAAGGATGATTTTTTCAAAATGCAGGTACATGGTTTTTCTTATGCTCAGCCTTCTTGCTTTTTCATATAAATCAAGCAAATGAGCAAACACAAGATATTCAGTGGTAAAGTGTCACCCAATGTGTCCCTGAAATCACTGTAATTATGCACACAGATTAGATGCCCAATTGTGTGCAGAGCCATCTTGAAAATGTAGCCATAAATACAGGAGCTACAAACTCCCAGTGTGAGATTTAATTGCCAGGTATTATTCTCAGGACTTTGTTCAGCATAAAATCAGCTGGCCTGTAATATTTAAACTATTGTATGTCTATTGTTACATTTTATGAACATTTTACACTTGGAAATATGAGAAATTCTCACTTCTAACTCTCAATGTTAGAAGACATTTAGTGAACTCGAGGATATTAGGCTACAAATTTCCATAACTTTCTTAAAAGAGCAGAGTCATTCCACCAACGGCCAATTAGGCATTGCTGCAAAATAGGGAGTAACTATTATGAATTCTAAAAATATGTGTTTTTAACAAGCTGAATAAAATGCTCTACTCCGCCCAGTTGCTCCCTTGTCTTCCATAATAGTATTAATAGTTATGAAAGGTAGGCAAACTCTAAGTTTATCTTGAAAGCAGTAAGAAAAAAGTATTTGTATACAATCCAGTAGAAAACTTCCATGTCAGAAACAAAAGAATATAAAACTTCTTTCACATTGGTCCACTCTATATTTGTTTCAGCACTACTGAGAAAGCTAGAGTGAATACAACATTCCTCACTTCCTGCAGCTTTTCTTTTGGCACGCTACATTGTACTTGAGTCTGTTGATCATGCCAGATAACATCACCATCATCATGCTGTGGGTTTGGGAAGAAACAGGAAAAAAATTGGAAGAGTAAAGAAGTTCTTGCTATAGGAAAGCATTGAGATATAGACTCTTTCTCTGACTGTACCTCTTCAACTTACACCTGGCTCAATAAAAGTGTTGTAGTAGTCAAGTGTTCCACTTGAGGTACTGTGTGACCCTGGATCCTGCTGCATGCTTACCCAGAGAGGTAAGCCCAATCAAAACAGAGTAAATCTCAACACTACAAGCTAAGGCTTCCATCGCTGAACTCTTACCCAAACATATCTACTTATTCAGGATTATATGTTCTTGATTTTTTCAACAGGTGTTCACTTAAACAAACATCAATGCTCTGAAAAATCCGTTAGCACCAAGAAGATTAAACAAATGATACCAAGTTTTCATTTTTTGTATATATACAATCTTCAGATATTCATACACTTCCACTTACAGCAATGAATTCGAGGTTCTAAAAGTCTGATTAAAGCAATAACATGTTCTGTGTTTGAACAAGTAAGATTTAGTGGTAAAAACTGGCAACTGCCCTATAACCTCTGGGGTAAGTGTTTCTTACTAAAACTGTGTATGTTTGAAAATACTGTAAGACACCTTGTTCTTGTATTTTCCAAACATAAAGTAACCTATGAACACAACACTCCTGTAAGGAAAGTTAAAGAAGAGAAAGTGAGACATACAGACAGTAAGTCAGCACTTGGAAACCTTAAAGACAGAATTCATATGCATTGACTACGTTGATACCTAATGAGGTGTTAGAAACTCTCTGCCTCTTCATTTGCTAGCTGGAGGATTGGTCCCCTGATGGTGGGCAGAGACCCTCCGCTTCTACTGGTGGGTGTCTATTCCCTGAATACCAGTGAAGCCTTTGGGATTTTACTTCACAGTGGCAGTGAGGAGCAGTTCCACAGGAGAGATATTCACAGAATTTCACTGAGCTGCAGCTTGCTCAAGGCTAACCTCAGGGGAAACCAACAATCCTAAACAGCAGCCATGAGGCTCAAAGGTCATTCTGCTAAAACAGACTCCTGAGGACATCCCTATCTTTAATAAAGTAGGACCATGAGAAAGCTTGCCGTTCTTGCTAGATCTAGGGTAAAGATTCATAAAGGAATAATCACCCCCAAATGAGAGCAGAGAATTGGGGTTCTGGGGGTTGCATCTTTTCCCCTATGTTGTGTTGGGAGAAACAAAATGCTGAATAGACTCCAGTTATAAAGCTCAGGGAGGCCCAAAGTATCTCCAGATCAGAGGAGTTGCAGGCAGAAAATTTAGATGGTAAAATTTGCTAATTTTTCTCACACTTCTTCCTGTTAAGTCAGTAAAATGGTATGTTTCATCAAAGTTGAGGAAGTCTACTTAAAAATGTGATCATAAAGAAAAATTGTCAGTCATTTTGGAATAGTAACCCCATGGGATAGGAGCCAAAGTCAGCAGATAGATTTTGGATGGTGTGCAACAGGGCAGGCCAAAGACTGGAACTGGGAACCACGGCTTTCCTGAAAAGCAAAGATTCCTAGTCCTGGCTCCCACTAATTTCAGAGCTGTGTGGAAGCTAGAAACCTTTGCCTCACATAGAGGCAAGGTAGTGTCTTGCCACTGAGCAGCAGCAGCTCAAAACTTCTAAGCAAGTCCAATTCCTGCAGAGTTTTTGCTGGCAAATAAACTCTCCTGGAAAAGTTAAAATAAAGGCTAGCACACCACCCTAGATGGGTTGCTGACCTCTGATGTCTAGTAATATTCTTACCAGTTCAATTCCTTCTGGGGATGAAGCACCATAACTTATTCAAACCCCTGTGCTCTTTGCACAGCCAGAGAAAATTTTAAATAGCATTTCAGCAAATTCAAAACTGCATGGATCGATTTTGTACCACAGCTGTAATTTCCATGACATTTAACAGGACAGTGTGAAGGTTCAGAAATATTTTCTGTAACTCAGAATAAATTACACAGTGCTAGCAGAACAGCAGAAAGGCACATTTTTGTGGGCTAAATCACTGCAGCTGGGATGTTCAAGAATGCTGAGTCTACTTTTTTCTCTAGAAATAAAGGGAGAAAAATCAGCCACAGAGCTCCTGTTTGCTTTCACTGTAACTAGCCATGCTCTTGCCAACTTACTGCAAAGTGTTTCAGTCTCTCATTAACACCCACATCCATCACTGACACCAACAGACTCAGTCATCAGAAATGTTCATTTAGAAGCAGTGATCAAGCAAATTAAGACCAAAAATGAATCTGGCATCTGAATCTTCAATTTCTACCCCAACTTTGAAATGCCAAACATCCCACAGACCCTTCAGGCTTCAATCAAAGCCTGGTGATGTCAGTTAGAAGTAGTTCAGAAGTCAGGACACATCTCAAAATATTTCTAAAGATGCACCTCCTCCTCAGCACCCTCCTATGGGACAGACACACTTCAGTCCGCTAATGGAGTTCTGCCAGATTTAATACTTTCTTGGTATTTTAACAATGGTGGCTGGTAATTCCAAAAGAGCTGATATGGCTTTAATAGTCAGTGTATTTCCCCACAGTATGAGCAGAAAGAAGAAAGAGAATCACCCTCTCAATAAAAGATTGATTACCTTCTGTTTTTAAGAACCGTGTTCTCCGAGGATAATCCTTGACCATGTCCTACTGATCAGAACAGATTCTACCTAACCCAAATCTGGAACAGCCTATTTAGTGCAGGGGCCTTTTGGTTGTTGTTGTTTTTTTATATTGGGGTTTTTTTCTTAAATGAGAGCATTTAAGAACTTTGAGGAACATTTTAAACTTTACCTTTCATCAGAACTTGCTTACTGAAAAGCTGTTTAGAGCAAGGAAAACCTCATAAGAATATGCCTTAATTGCCTCATGGCTTGGCATAGTGATTTTCAATAAAAAGGCATTGCTTCACATGCCCTTGACTTCAAAACTTGTGAAAATTCAGTTTTGTTTCAAAATTTGGGGATTAACATTAGCAGGGTACACAAGGAATGCATGCAAAACAAGATGAAAGGGAGTTTTATTCCAGTGCTTGACTAGATGGAACTCAGTTTTCACATGTCACTGGAATAGAAAAAACAAAACTGAAGTCCATACCGGAAACAACCCATCCATGGTGCCTTAGAAGTGATACAGCTACCACATGCATGCTAAATAGTCACTCACTAGATAAACGAACCACTAGGCTAAAAGTAGTGCAGGCAACAGAACCTGAACCAGCATCACCAATCTGCCGCTGTGGATACGATCCCTCTTTTATCCATCTACCGAGACTCTCCTAGTCTCTTTTTTTTTTTTCCAGCTGGTCACTTTTTCACCCCGATTTATCTGTTCAAGCCAGGTGGTACTTGCCCCAGACCGCACCTCTCCCACTGTCCACCCGCATCACCCCCACCCGTGCCCCGTGCTTCTTCATTTACCTCTTCTTTATTCTCCTCACCTCACCTCTCCCCTCCTCTCCCTCAGGAGAGCCCGCGCCCCACCGGCGCGAGGCGCCCCAAGCCCGCGCGCCCTCGCAAGACTGCAAATCCCAGCAGCCCGCGCGCCCTCGCAAGACTGCAAATCCCAGCAGCCCGCGCGCGGCCTCTTCCTATTGGCCGGCGCCGGCAGGAAGCGACCTGCGGGGTGAAAGGTGAGGCGCGGGAGGCGAGCGGCGGCCGGAAGGGAAGGCGCAGGTCTCTGCCCGGGGCCGGGAGGGAGCCCTGGGGTGGGCCCGGCGGTGGAGGAGGGTGTCAGGGGGGACCGTGGCCGCAGCCCGGCCCCTCATCTCTGGGGGCGGGATAGGGCTGAGATGACAGCGCCGGGGAACGGCTGCCTGCGGCCTGGGTCGGGGGGGGGC